CCCGCCCCCCCCCCCCCCTTGTCCACAACAATTTTGGAAAGTTTACACAGACAAATTTTTTTCAGTAAGTCGGGCACAATGTGGAAAGTCCGGCGAATTTCTTTCTGTCCCCCCTCACCTGATTTTTTCCCTCCCATACGCTTATATGATCCTGTGCAACGTTTTAATACTATCGAATGTAGTACGGGGCATTTTTTTGGGACATCCCGTATAGCAAAATATTGAGGAATGAGACTAAATATTTGAATGAGGAATTGTTTCTGAGTTTTTGTGGTTTGAATTGTTTATATGCATATGGCTTATCGTGTTGTGTCATATTTTGTTTCGTTGTGTTGTCTTGCATTGAGTTGAACTAGGTTGTGCATGAACATGCAGTATTGCATAGCGGGTTGGACCGGATTGGGACTTTTAGATTTGGAAATTGTTTTCAGTTGCAGAGCTTTAAACGCCAACAAAACACGTTGATAGATACGATCAATTCAACTATCTATTTTTACATAACAGTTGAATTTACATTTAATATTTATCCACAAAAGAAAAAAATATTTTACGCTTCACTTACTGGTTATAATAATTCAACTTTATGTATAACCGTCCGTGAAAACACGCACGATTACTATCATTCCAATGAATAAAATCTACTGCGGCTACGATAAGTTCCTTTAGTTTGTAATTAGATAGATAATAGTTTTGATTTAAGACCCAAATATGATTTGTATTCCATCTCGTTCAAAGTTTTTTCTTTGTGTGTTCCAGCTTTGTGCAGCGTCATCATCGCTGTAGATGTACAAGAATTTCTTCTTTTCTTCATTGGTTTTGGCGCATTGATCAAGTGCACTTTTTGTTCTTCGTACAAAATCTTGCCCACATCCAACTTCTGCGCTCTTCCAGCATGGGAATCATCTGGTTCCAAGGATGATGAAGGCAGGACATTCTTTCAATTCGTTACTCTCCCAGCCAAATACATCTCTTATCATGTTATCAAATTCCAGCAACATCTTCTGCTCGGAATGGCCTTCGTTAGAATCCTGAATATCAGGTGTTGTTCTTGCTCCGGCAACCCTCATATTTGATGTGAAATCTGGCCTTGGGTTATCTGGTGTGTCGATTTCTGGCCAAGGGTTCTGACCTGCCAGAGCAGGCATCCTTTCACTGGGTGCTCCGCCAAGTATTCGTTCCACATTTTTATTCGTGTAAATTATGCGATCGTCGGTTTTACGTTGGAAGTACAAATAAGCGACTTGTTTTTTCTCTCGTATCTCATTATCGACACGTCTTGCGCTTACAGTTGTAAAAATACGATGCGCAGTATCTCTGGGTTCTGGTATCCCAGATACTTTATTAAACACAATGAAACAAAACGCAACGAAAATAACTAGTAGCTGCGTTTTCGACATGTTGACTTTCTTATGACCAAGTGAGAAGATAAAATAAAATGAAAGACTTTCTTGTGGTTCTGTGTAAAGAAATGTTATGTCATAGATATAAACATATCATTGTGCTTGTGGTTCCTCTGTCATAAATACTATAGCACAACAAGATATCACCTTGCATTGTTCAATCCGGCAAACAGTAGTGGGTGATACTATTGTTGTGAAGAGAGCCGAATAACACAACGGTTTGGTCGCGGACTTACTCAAATTTCTCATGCATAAAGCAACCTTTTAGACAATGCGAATCAGTCAATTTTGGAAGCAAATGAAAATAAAAAGCAAAATATAATTTGAACGAAATGTCAATCCCAGCCTTCAGACATAAACTTTTGATAATATTTCCTGCATGTACGATACTGTGATAAAGTTATACACCTTAATTTCCGTTTTGGATTGGGGTTTCAAAAACCAGATATCTGCAGAGCTCTTCATTGTATATCATTGCATGTATATATAAAAAGTACGAGAGTTAAAATCAAAATTTCATATATCTTGAATGTTACTACCATTTTCTTATTAAGGAATTACAATTTCAGGGGCAAAGACTTCAAGGCTTTCTTATCGTACAATACAGACTTCCCGAGTTTGCTATAAGTGCACGAAGCAATAGCTGGAATTGAGATCAAGGCAGACAATATTATAATCCATTGTAAATAAGTAGTTTTCATTGCCAGACAACACATTTTGGAAATGTCTTTTAAGTGTCCATTAAGACCATTCTGATCGATGGGATATCAAGAATTAATTAAGTGAGAAAACACGAGAAAATACTGCAATGTATATCTTAAACAGGTTGAATCTTTCCATTAATGATGAATCGATCCAGTTCATATGGGGTAAGCTATATAGTTAAAACTGGCTCCCCCGGGGCCACCACCATGCGTGCATTATCCATTTATTGATCAAAGCAAAAATAACTGGTCGTTTAGACATCATGCTGCTCAGGTACGCCAGCCTAAAATATATTTCAACTGGCATGTTTAAAATCCAATGAACGATTTGCATGTGTAGCAATATAAATGGAATTTGAGAAGCTTCTGAACTGGCCACATGCACCTGTTTCGCAATGCGGGGTTTTATGCGTACATCATATTAAGATTCATGCATCCAAAGCTAAGTTTTTTAAAAGATAAGTCTATTTGAAGATCAAATTAGGACAACTGTTTCTCATTTTGCATTCTGGAACTGCGAAGTACAATTTCAATGACAATGTCCTCTTTTAAAACGAATGCATCGTCATTGTTTGTTAAAAAGTGCGTTTTTGGTTCACGAAATGTTAGAGACGTACTGCTCGAAACGGTATATAAAGATACAGCGAATATAATAGTGACCCGCTTCGAAGTCTTTATACCAATAACTGGTCCGTTTCACCAGATCACGATAAAGCTACAACGGACAGGTACATAAATACTAAATTAAAACTTTTGTTTAGTGTCCATCCATTTTAATCTTCCCAGCATTCAAAGCGTAATAGATACAAAACGATGAAAAGATTGTCTTGAGAGTTTTAAAGTAAAAAAAGTGGATGTCGCTGGAATTTCGCATTTGTTAGGTCGAGCGGGAATACTACACAAGTATATATTTTACGTATACGAACTGGAAATTGATTGTTAGTCTATGGTAAAAATCCATAACATGTAGTGAACTCCCTTCTCACTTATATTAAGGCCCTGTTTAATGTACGAGCCTAGCTAACCTCCAGATGGGAAAAGTATATGTAATTCAATTTGCATTGTGTAGTTTATGTAAGAAACGAGCCAAACTGGCTAGGTAAGATCTCATTTTGACATTTTGAACTAGATGGAACACATTTTTCATAATCAGAAAAAAATATTCCGATGACGCCATTAGTCCCACCGAGCATACGATATTAGAAATTAGATGAGTTAAAATCAGTCATTAATTGAACACATAAATAAATTTTCCTACTCATGCAGGTGAGCTTTCCAGCCGGTCAATCAGGCTCCTACGAACAATCACGCTAAGATAAAATCAGGATAAATACTTCTTTATCTTGTTTGTAAACATTCCAATACAACAGACTAATGGTTTTCATCAGTTTTAATAACTATATTTTATTATTACAAGTATACACATTTAGGCTCGTATTACTTTATCGTACCGTATTGCATGCATATATTGTTATCTAATCTGAAGATAGTAACAGTCCTTTTACATATAAGTTACTAAAGCTTAAAATCTTATATTTATGCAATCTTTATTTAATCAGGGTACGTATCATTCTAAATATAGTTTTTCAAAACTGACTGTCAAAAAAAGTAATTTTACTGTTCATCAATCATGATCGGAACGAAAATCAAGGTTCACATTATTCTCTGCAAAATATGCGAGTTGGGTGTCGGCTTTCGGTTTTTCATTGACATAGTAGAAAAATTGCGTTTTACCACACTGCTTTGCGACAGCCTCTTTCTTCCGGAGAAAACCATCCTCATGCATTGGCCATCCACGGAGGTCAATATTCTTATCAGAGTATTTGCTTCTTCCAAATATCGCGAGTTTCGGGCACTTTGGCGAATTCACTTCATCTAAAATTTCGACGACTTTTTTTATTTGTGCGACTTTCTGATGGTCTGGTCCCGTGCTGAAAACTCCAACTCTAAAATTGTTGTCGGCACACGAAGCGTCGGCCTCTGGTGCTGGCCAACAAGATGGATCTTTGTCTTTCAGTTGAGGCATTTTTCTGTTTTGCTCTTTGAATACATCAAACAAAGCGTTGACGACCGGGTTATCATAATGAGGTTTTGTGAGTGTAGCATCGTAATGAATGTAAGTAAATGCAAATTTACCGCCATTTTTATCAGCACCGTGTGCATGATCAATGATGTTTTTATACACCATCTTGGCTAAATTTACCGCCACATTTGCATCAACCGTGGCGTCAACTTGTTTTAATAGTATCGAGAAGGAAATTGACACAAGAACAACTAGCAGCGACATTTTTACTTGCGAATTACCTTAAACCCGTTGCTGACTTTCTCGACGCAACAGTAAGAATGTTTCAGATGATTTGCAACGAAATTATTTAACAATATGATTTTGCGGGTACCTGACTCAGCGAGATTAATTACCATAACTCTCCTGCTGTTAGCCCGTTATTGATTGGAGAACAAAGACCAATCCACAGGTCTGGCCGAGAGGTTGGCGGGAGCCCGGGGCAACTTTTTTTAGAGGGACCCTATTTAAAAATTGTTTTCGGAAAAAAATTCTTTCGGATATATCTTGTCCTTTGCGCGGAAATATTTAACACACAATTATCAGATTTGATTTTCGCTACACACCGGTCACGATTTGATTGGTTAATCGATTCGGGTAGAAGCCGAAGACCATGCCGAGAACGACTGGGGGGAAGGGTGGGATAGTTAAACATTCGCGAAATACAGAATAGCACAAGAATAGCACTATATCATGAGCATGGCAGCACATAGAAATTTTGGGGCCCGGGGCAAATTTAACATTTGGGGCCATAGTGATTTTCTATCGTCAAAGATTCTTGAAGTTATGTGCTCTTTTACAGATTGACTTCCATATTCTTGAACTATTAGGACAATTAGCAACATTATAGCTCAGAGAGGTCCGAAAATAGTCACTATTCGAATATTTGAACACAATGAATTTTTATTACTATCTTCTTTACTTTGTGCCACCAGTTGCCACTAGTTGGCGTGCAGAAATTCATTGCGGATTGTGGTTTCTGGAAAGTGGAAACACAGGTTGTCTTCAATCTGAGGGGATACCGCATTTACTCGTTCCGAGGTTTGTTAAAGATTGCAACCTCGTGCCCATGGTGTTTTTCCACCACAGTCGTGCGTCACGAACAATTCTTCAGACGTCAACTGCAGTGCTTCGTTTAAGCGCCGCGTTGTTGTGAATAAGTGCGGCGCCTTCCTCGTCCCTTGGGCGATCCGCCCGAGCTTGGGCCTTGGGACGAGGATGGTGGGACGCTCTCTCAACTTCGTCCCCAGAACAGGTGGGCAATTTGTCGACGCTGACCAAAAATAGCGGCTCATTTCTTCTCGAGTTGCCATTTTCGCGTCGAAGAGTGAAAAATACAGACTTTCAGAGAATATTTTAGCTGTTTACTATCAAATATGTTTGTGAAACAGTTGA